CCACCCGATCTGCCCATCTGGTTCTACCTTTTAGTTTCTGCGCATTGCCCCCCTCCTGCTAGTTCCTCTCGTGTTCCATTATTCTCCCTCCCTCTTCCTCCCGTCCTCTCTTCCCCTGTGTTAGGGGTCACACTACATGTTCGTGGCAGGCAAGGAAGATATATTCCCAAGGGTGTACGATCGAAGATAACGAGGGCGTGTACCGAGGGCTTGGGACATACGTATTGATTGGCACGTGAGGAGATAGGGGCGAGCAGTCTTAAAATGATTGGTGTCGTTGTTGTTGTTGTTGCTGTTGTTGTTGGTGTTGTTGTTGTTGGTGTTGTTGTTGTTGGTGTTGGTGTTGTTGTTGGTGTTGTTGTTGTTGGTGTTGTTGTTGTTGTTGTGGTTGCTGTTGTTGTTGTTGTTGTTGTTGTTGTTGCTGTTGTTGTTGTTGTTGTTGTTGATGTTGTCGTTGTCGTTGCTGTCGTTGTTGCTGGTGTGGGTGTTGTTGTTGTTGTCGGCGTCGTCGTCTGCCAGCGGCCACGGCCGAGGGGGGGGAGTCCATTAATGTTCCGAGGAGGGCGGGTGTTCTGGACCCCTCCTAACCGCTAAAGATTGTTAGTTGTGATTCCCCCGTGTTTGTTTCGGGGGTGAATAGGACTGGTCCTGAAACCTCCTTTCCCTCCTTCTCCATCCCTCCTTCTCCTCCTCCTCCTCCTCCTCCTCTTCCTCCTCTTCCTCGTTGTCGTCGTCGTTGTTGCGCGGCGGGTGTCGCGGAAAGAATAATTAGTTACCCCATTATCGATTGGACCCCAGGTCTTTCAATAAGGCCGCGGAAAGAATAAGTTATCCCCTATTGGTGGGACCCCAGGTCCACCAAGAAGGCCGCAAGAAAAGTAAGTAGTTACCCCCTATTGGTGGGACCCCAGCCTTTCAATAAGGCCGCCGAAAAGATACGTAGTTACTCCCTATTGGGAGGTTCTAGAGACCCGTCAGGGTTCATGACAGTTTTCCCAGGGTAGGGTGGGGGAGTTCTGGACCTCCTGGTTCTTGGGGATTGGGTGGGGGGAGTTGACGGAAGGGGACTCTTGGTTTCTGACCCCTGCCTTAGGATTTGTTTCAGGCGAAGGGGGGTCCTGCGGTTCCTGGGCCTCCCCCCCTTTAGAAATTGCTTCGGCTGGCGACGGGGGATCGCGCGCTCTCGGTTCTTTTGAAGCCTCTCCAGCGTGTTGGAGCCCTTTCTGAGCCATCGAGAGCATATTGGAGGACCGACCACGGATTTGGAGGCTATGTGGGCCTCAGAGGTGCGTTTTCGAGTTCGCTCCACCCGTCACCCTCCCTTGAACTAGATGTTGTCGCCTGGGGAGTGGGATCAGGGGAATGGGGACGTCTCACACGCCTCTCACCCCCGGCAAGCGCGGGTGGGCTGATCGAAGAGGACGCTTGTGCCCTCATGAACGCGAGGTACCTGGCGGTCGGCTCGTGGAGCACATTCTCGCAGACACTCGAGCTCCTGAACGATCAGCTCGAGGTCTTGTTCTGGCCCATGCCACCAAAAGGCACGATGTCGAAGCTTGACAGCCACTGCACTCCTGTGGCTTCGGACTCAGAAACGAGGACGCTCGTGTACGAGATTGATGGCATGCAGGGCGTGCACAACAATCTCGCGAGGCAGGCGAGCGTGGAGTATTTCACCCGGAACTCTTCACAGGGAGTGACCTTGGTCTCCACGTGCAATTGGGACCAGGAGGTTCGACCAAAAAACAAGCGACGCCACCCCACCTACGGCCCTCCGTGTCGCGCTGCGGCCCATCGTGCGCCGTAGCGCATACCTGGCAAAAGCCACGCCAGATCTCCTGTCGGCGGCGAGCGAGGGGGGAAAATGAGAACTGGCGGGCCTTCTCAGAAGGCTCGGAAGTCCCACGGCCTTCTGAGAAGTTGATTAACGCCTTCCCCGAAGGCACAGAACAGCTCCCAGAAGGCCCGAGGGCTTCGGAGAGGTCTCGCCGCCCTCTGAGAAGACCTTCTCTCCCTCCCACCTCCTCCCCCTCGCGCGCCGCCGATCCTGACATGACGCGAGGCCCCGTGGGGTCCGCAGTGGGGGTGGTGCAAGGGCGCCCTCGAGGACACGAAGCTATTCGCGCTGCGCGCTTCGCGCTTCCGCTCCGATTCCTCCTCGCCCTCCTCTTCTCTCTCCCCCGGGGGGCGGCGCGAGAGCGCGAAGCTGCTCGCCCTGCGCGCTGCAGTGCGCAGCGCGAAGCGCGAAGCTGGGAGCCCCTGGTGTTAAGTCGGGCCTGTCCGCCTACAGGGGGAAATTCAAAAATAGTACAGACATGGTCGGGGGACCATGTTTTGGACATTTCTTTTCACCATTTTGGAGCATTCTGCTGTTTCCGTATTTTTCTATGCTTCGGCGAGACTCCCCCCTGAAGGGGGACACGCCCGACTCAGCCCCGGTGGTGCCGCCGCGCGCCCTGCTCCAGAGGTGCCCTTCGTGGGCTCCGTGAGCCTGCGCTAGGCCCGCCGGCCCGCGCGCCGCCCCGCGCCGCCCCGGCCGCGGGCGGGGGCGCGGCGAGCATAGGCGGGCGGGCGGGGGGGGGGCGGGCGCGGCGCTGCGGCGGCGGGCAGGCGCGCGGGCGGCGTCTCGCCCTCCCTCTCCCCCTCCCTCTCGCCTTTCTCTCTCCTTTCCCTCTCCTCTCGATGCCCCCATCGCTCTCCTCTCGCGCTCTCTCGCTCTCGCTCTCTCTCTCTCTCTCTCTCTATCTCTCGTGCTCTCTCTCGTTCTCTCTCTCGTTCTCTCTCTCTCTCTCGTGCTCTCTCTTTTGCTCTCTCTCTCTCTCTCTCTCTCTCTCGCTCCCCCCTCGCTGCCTGCCGCTCCCAGCTGCCCCCCCCCCACACACACACACACACAACAAAAAAAACAAACAAAAAAAAAAAAAAAAAAACACCTGCCCCGGGTGGTCTTCGGGTCCCTCTGCCTGGGTGCGCGGCGCGCTCGCCCTCTCTCCCTCTGCCCGTGGCGGCCACCCCCCGCGTCCCCTGCACGAGCTGGTCCCCCCCCCCCCCCCCGAAAAGCGTCACCCCTCGAGAGGGGGCGCCGCAGGGGCCTTTCGAACGGGAGCCCTCCTGCTGTCCCACTACCTCATTATGCCTCTGTCTCCCTCTCTGTGTCTGCCTCTCCCTTTTTTTTTTCTCTCTCTCTCTCTCTTTCTCTCTCTCTCTCTCTCTTTCTCTCTCTCTCTGTTTATATAATATATATATATATATATATATATATATATATATATATATGTGTGTCTGTCTTGTATTTCTCTCTCTCTCTCTCTCTCTCTCGCTCTCTCACTCTGTATATGTTCATGGTATAATAGGCACCTCTCCGAAGGAGTAGAGCTCAGAAGCGATTCAATGAAGCCGCATATGTGTTTGCCGTTTCGCTCGGGACATCATCAGCATTCGGAATATCGGACGCACCTCTCACGCAGATCGCGACGTCACGGTCCACAAGCACAGGCTTCTTCAACAAGCTTAGCATAAAGCCTTCAAGTTCAAGACCACAAAGGAATTCAATGGGTTTGAGCCCGATTATTCAAAACTTTCAGTTTCACGTGAGACTGTCTCACAACATCGAGCCCCTTCTCAACGTGAGTCTTAGAAAGAGGCAGTTTCGCCCGAGGCGTCCTCCCAAGTCGAGCCACGGCGTACAGCATACACAGAGAACACACAGAACACACACACACACACATCGCACCAAGCACACACACACACACACAACACAAACACAGAACACACACAACACCTGCAAAACGCACAGCACACACATGAGACACACAAACACAAAACACACACATATTCACATCACACAAAACACCCAGCACAAGCAACACACAACGAGAACGCACACACAGAACAGGCCTGGCACACAAAACACGCAGAAAACACATGACCCACACATAAATCGCACACAGCGCACAACACAACGTACGCACACAACACAGCACACATAATATAAACCTTACACACCAAACACACACACACACTCTGCATGTGTGTGTTGTATGATCCTGGTCACGTACGTGCCACTTGTGTATAACGGTGAGCATGCAACTGTATATATGATTTTTTTCGTTAGAGCATTGTGGGTGGATCGCGGGGTGGGTCGCGGGCCGGGTCGCGGGTGGGTCGCGGGCCGGGTCGCGGGTGAATCGCGGATGGGTCGTGGGTGGGTCGCGGGTGGGTCGCGGGTGGGTCGCGGGGTGAGTCGCGGGTGGGTCCCGGGTGGGTCGCGGAGTGGGTCGCCGGGAGGGTCGCGGATGGGTCGCGGGGTGGGTCGAGGGGTGGGTCACGGGGTGGGTCACGGGGCGGGTCGCAGGGTGGGTCGCGGGTGGGTCGCGGGCGGGTCACGGGGTGGGTCGCAGGTGGGTCGCGGGTGGGTCGCCGGGAGGGTCGCGAAATGGGTCACGGGGTGGGTCGCGGAGTGGGTCACGGGGTGGGTCGCGGGGTGGGTCGCGGGCCAGGTCGCGGGTGGGTCGCGGGGTGGGTCGCAGGGGGGACGACCACAACAAACAACAACAACAACAACAACAACAACAACAACAACAACAACAACAACAATCATTTTACCCGAACGCTCAGTGTTCTCCCCAGTGCCAGGGTTTTCTTGCGACACCAGCCAATACCCCCACTTCGTGGGGGGGCCGTTCAAGCTCTACCAAATATCCAAACGACTCTTCGAGACCACCCACACCCAGCTTCCCGCCCTATGACGTTGGGACACTTCACTTCGTGGCGTGCGGACGACCCTGGCTACTACACTGGCGTGGGGTACACACCCACAGAGGTTGATCACATCTGTTACATATGATGTGGTACACGGTACACGTGAGATGGTACGCAGTGCCAAGATAGTTGGTCACATTTTTGGGGCAAATTCGTGGGGATGCGATTACAGAAGTACATGTGTTACACTGATGTTATACAGTCCCAAGGATGACGCATGCATTGCTCATAGACTCATGGCGCTATGATCCTAACTCTCAGTGCCCAACGCGCGCGTGCACAGCCAGACGGAGGGAGAGAAACACATGTATACAAGGTTCGTGACATACGCACGGTCCACCATGTTGTAAACGATCGCATGCACGGTAAGTTCTGAAATTATACGTATGTACAAGCAGACATGCGAGGGAGAAAGGGAGATGGCCATCGACAGTTCCAATACGGCTCCAAGGCGGAAGAGGGGGAGGAGGAGCAGGACAAGGAGGAAAGGAGAGAAGCGAGAAAGGAAGAACGCAGACGGCGCGGCTCTGGACACAAAGGGGTGCCATACTTTCTCCTGCTTTCGCAAACAGGTCCAGTCACACGTAGGGGTATACTCAACCTCTCGCACTGTCGCAGTCGGCCAAGGGAGGCCGCGACAGCTCAGGGCCATACTGCTCGTGAAGGTCTTTCGCCGTCAAAGCCATGATCCAAAAACACAGGCGATACCTTGATCCGAGATGGCTACGGATATGTGCGTCAGCAGTCGGGGGCCTTCCTGGGGCCGCTTGGGGTCCTCTTGGGGAAGGGGGGAAGCCTCCTGGCGCGGTTTGGGGTCCACTTGAGAGCCTTTGGGGGGCTCCTTGGAACCATCTTGGGGCCTCTTGGGGGCTTATTGGACCCTCACGGCGGACTCTTGGGGCCTCTAGAACGCCTCCTGGGGCCATCTTGGGGGTCTCTTGGAGCCACCTTGGAGCCTCTCTGGAACCTCTTGGGGGCCTCTTGGAGTCCTCTTGAAGCCTCTTGGGACCATCTTGGGCGCCTCTTTGGGCCTCATGGACGCCTCTTGGGGCCATCTTGCGCGCCTGTTGGGGCCATCTTGGGTTTTAAAGATTCATCAAGAGACCGCGAATGGATTTCGAGATTTTTCGGATGAGAAAGTAGTGCGTTTTCATATGTTTTCTGAACATCGCATCTTGAAATTATTGAAAACCCATTGTGTTTGGCAGGATTTCGACATGCGCGCGCGGCGGCCGCGCGCATGTGCACTTCGTCTCATTTTTTGCAAGGGATGGTGGCCCTCGCAGGCGCGCAACCGTTGTTGGAGAAGTTCAAAGCACCTGAAGAAGTAGCACGCAAAGACCCTTTTGACAGAAATGTTTAAAAAGTGGTGTGTTTCCTATGAATCCGCAAGAGCGCGCGGAAGGACATTTTGACAATTTTTTCTTAAAAAACCATTGGGTTTTTGATGTTTTTATGTTAAAATCGCTACGAAACCTAAGGTTTTGGAAGGATTTCGTCTTGCGAGCGCGAATGTCCACTTTACCTTATTTTTTGCAAGGGATTCTTGAAATTTGATCAACTAAGAACAAGAATTTTCATTTTCTATTGTTTTTTGCAAGGGAAAACGAGCGTCAACAAAAAACCGGATCCGGGGGTAATCCACTTTTCTGAAGCTTTCGCAGAAAAATGATGAAAATGTAGCTGCGGCCTAGGTTTTGGGCGGGGGGCGTGCACCAGGGGGTCCAACAATAATAATTCTTTAGAAGTAATAGTGTTCAACAACAACGCAACAAACAGAATCTTCACCACGGATCCCCACTAGAGCCACGCACCCAGGGACAATGAATGACCGTTCGGCCCCTTCACTCTGATACATATATATACATATATATATATACAGATACATAGCCCAGTGTCCAGGGCCCCCCACCCCCTCCCACAGGAATGGTGCAGTCCCTTGCGGTGTTGTGCGGTCTAGTGGTGGGAGGTGCGCGTGCGTGCCTGTGTGCATGTGTATGCATGCATGTGGTGCCCCTCCTGGGTGTGGTATTGGTCTGTGATTACACCAGTGTGCGGGAGAGCAAGGCAACCTTGCATCGCAGGGGGCCTTGGCTTCCAGGAGAGGTCCAGAGACGAGGACGACCACCTCTGGCGTCGTCGCCGCCGTCCTCGTCGTTGTCGTCGTCGTGGTCGTGGTCGTGTTCGTCGTCGCCTTCTTGGCCGTTGTCGTCGTGGTCGTCCTCGTCGTCGTAGTCGTCGTCGCCGTCGCCGTCGTCGTGGTCGTCGTCGTCCTTGCGTGGTCGTCGTCGTGGTCGTCGTCACCATCGACGTCGTCGTCGTCGTCCTTGCGTGTTCGTCGTCATTCTCGTCGCCGCCATCGTCGTCCACGTCGTCGTCCTCGTCGTCCTCGTCCTCGTCGTCGTTGACCCGCTTCCCTCTGCATCACGCCTGGGGGGCGACGCACAGGAGCCCTGGGACCCATCCCTTTTGGGGGGGGGGCGGGGGCGAGGCGCCCGAGCCCCAGCCTGGAGCACATGTGGGGAAACGAGGAACGACACGTAAAAGCTCGGAGGTCCGCGCAGACTTCCCGGATCCGCGCTGGACCCCCCAGTGCGGCGCCTCCTGCGCCGCCCCAGTTGCGCTCCGCGCGCCAGGGACGGGGGGTCCGGCGCCGATCCGAGACATCCGCGCGGACCTCCGAGGTGTTATGTTTGTGTCATTTCTTCGCTTCTTCATGTGTGCTCCGAGCCTGCGGACCGA